GCTTGTGTGTGTGTGTGTGTCGGGGGGGGGGAGAGAAGTAGGGAAGGCTGGGTGGCTGATGCTGCGAGTGAGGAGAGCTAATGCAGTGCCAGGGGCGAAATAAACAGTAACTTTCTGAACAATTGTGAGCGGGGCGGCTGGGGGGGGGGCTTACGCTGCCGTGCACGCTCGGTCGGGCCTCATTGCCCCGCTGGCCCCTTTGGAAAACGGGCTTCATTGGGCCCATTGTGGCTGGTTCCACGTCCGATTTGACCTGAAAAAGGATAAGTAAACAGCACGGGGTATTATAAAAGGAACGAAAAAAAAAACCTGAAAAGCAGCAAGGCTCAGCATAAGAGGGTAGGGGGGAAAAGGGCTGAGAATGGAATCAATGGCAACACGGGCCGCGCATTTACATGAGGATTTGTGAATGAAAAATAAACTCTTGTGAAAGATTTCTTCGTGTATGGGGCCCACATTTAATGACGGTTTGTGGTAATGCTGGCCAATTTGTCGTTTGGCAGGTTGCTTGTTGGAGTGCCATTCCCGCACTCTGCTCTCTACATTCAGAAAAAAAATATTTCATTGTTTTCCTATTTATTGAAACAATATTTTTGGCCACATCAGAGTTTGTCATAAATTTCTAATGTCAGCAGGGACTTATTCTAGAATATGAAACATCATGCCTCCAGCCTTGAAATTTAACGTTGCTGAAAAACCATCATCTATTACCCCTCCCATGCATCAAGGACATAATCCGAATTTTATTGCTATTCAAAAAAACATAGAGCCGTTTAAGGGCCTGTGTAATTGATTTGTTGAAATGGTAAATTTTAACCGGGCAAAGTGCACAGAGAATTGGCGAACAGATGCCAGCTGCTTCATTCACACTGGACTCGGACGAAATTGTGTTGCCGCACGTTTGAACCATTCATTTAATAGACTAGCGCAGACCAGTATAAACAGAGAGTCCTAGTGTAAATGTAAACCTCCAACCAACATATCTCTAATCCTGTTGGACAGACCTTTCAAGTTGGAACCGCCAAAAAAAAAAAAAGAGCTCAAAAGTGCCTAGTACCCTACCTTGACAGAAATGGTTCCTTGACGAATTATGTGGAGATGTTTTCTCCTAGATTTCCCAGTCCCAGAGAGAATTTGTCGGAGGCACGGCTAGCGAGTGCTTGGAACAAAAAAAAGAGGGGGAGGCTGTTTTGTTCCACCTGGGAACTGGATATGTTCCAAAGGGTGTTAAGGGCTCATTTATCTTCCCCCCCCCACCCTGTCAGAGGTACTTCAGAGCCTGGTGGATGAGTAGAGGGGTTTTCAGGCCAATCTACACAACACCCCGGGAATAGTGTCGAAATTCAGGTTCATGCGTGGAGAGACTTGCCCTGGCTTTAACAGAAAGGGAAGGGTGGGCACTTGACCCGTTGTCGTTGAGGGATAGAGTGTAGGCTTTCTCTTTGGTGGTCTCTGGAGGATTTCAGTGGTCTGGGGATTAGTCAAACGAGGATTAAGGGAGAGGTTGGGGGGGGGGAATCAACACTCAACAGTGGTTCAAGTGTAAGCCATCATGTGGCAACCCACTGTTAAGGACCAGGCGAAACAAACTTGTTCAAAACTTGCAGGTGTAAAGTGTCTTGTTAAAAAGGCCGTCAATTGTGCTTTGTTTTTTCGCTCTGTTTTGTTTGCATTGCCAAGATGCCGGGACTCTCTACTCACAGACAGAATAATTCCGTTTAGTTCACCTGATCCCCCCCCTGATCATCAGACTTTTGTTGCCAAACAGGCCTGTAAAACGAGACATTTTCATGGCAGATGTGCTTGGACGTTTTGTGAGCCACGATTTTTCAAGCGTGCTTGGATGAAATATTTCGAGCATTCCAGCAAGTTGCTCTTTTTTGTGGGAGGAGAACAGTGCCGAGAGAGGGCAGGGGAATCAATGCACAAAACGGCCTACTCCGAACAATCGGATCAAATTCAAGGACAGAAATGCAATATCCACAGAGCTAAGTATGAGTAATAACCAAACATGGACAGATGTCACGGGGAAATGCTGTCTGGAGCAAGACTCGCATTCATTTTTCATTAAATTTCAAGCTGTCAAGGTCGAACAGAGCAAACAATATTAAAACGAAATGAGCATTTGCAAGGACATCGGTATTGGCCCCCTAGGCTCGTCTTAAAATGTACATATACTTGTCAGTCTTAAACAGGGAAAGGTAACTCCAGCTGGTACTGAGGCTGTTCTGAGGACCCTCTGTGCATCTGAATTCCACACATGTACATTGTACATGTGCATGGGTACTCAACAGTTCGGGTGCATGCAGACCCCCACAACATGTAAAGTGCATGTTATTTCAACGCCTCTGGGCCATCTTTCTGCATGGACATGCATACATGTATGCTTGACTACTCTAGAATAAACAAGGAACTCGGGTTACCCAGCACACAAACAATCCACAGGCCGAAGGGCGATGTGTTTGTTTTGATGATGCAAGAATATATACATTTTTGGCTCACCAAGAGGCTTACTGTCCAAAGTGTCCAAGCGTTCAGTTGTGGTGTTACCGAGTCCATGTCAGAGAGTGATTGGAAAATTGGACAATTTGTTGGGGTTGTGAAATGTCTTTCAGCAATTTGTTTTCTTTTTATGCTTGATATTTATTTGTAATCAGCCCAAAGTTGCTTGGTGTTCCTGCATTGTGCTGATTGCAGTGAGTTTGTTCGGACATTTTTGTTTAGGATTTTTGTGATCAAATCCTTAGAGTTTACAGAAAGCATGCTGAGAGTGCTTAAATCTGGGGTTGACTCTGCCAGTGGGTTCTTAGTCTTAGAGGCAAAGTCTCACCTACTCTCCAGTCATCGTTTATCAATACTTCAGTCCAAGTCCGAGTCACCCCCCCTAAACAAGGATGGCCTGAGTTCGTGCCAAGTTTCCAGTCTGAGTCACGAGCCAAACGAGTCCCCGTCCACCTTTCAGGAGTTTGTCCTGTACTGGCTACCCTCCTGCGACAAAGTAGCTTTTATTTCAGCGGGAAATTGCACCGAAACCATCAATCATGGATCTCCATAATTTGAGTAATCCTTCCGCAAAGTCTTCAATCTCAACCCTCCTTTCTACCTTACCTCTGATATCGACTCTGTTTTTTTTTTTTTGATTAAGAAATTGAAAATACAAAGAGAAGAAAACAGATGAAGAAAAAAGTATGCTGGGCCCAGCCTCAAGTTACCGCGGCTATCGCCGTGGAAAATTTTGCCCCGCGGCCCTCTTTGGGTTTATGTTAACATTGATCGGTTTAAGAGTGCATTTTTGGCCGGGCCTCGGGGCTACACAGCAGCGAGGAACACCAGAAAGTTGTGTGGATGACAATATTAGAAACGGTGTCCCGTTGCAGGGGACCGAGATGGTGTCTTGATAATCACACCGGATGGGTGACCGTACACCATAAGCCAATATTTTTCCAGCGGTATATCTGGCTGTATCAGATTTTGTCCCGCCGATATTTTCCTGTTATCGGTAGCTTTTTTCCCCCCCCTCCATTAGTAGAAACTTCAGGGTGAAAGTTGCTGGGCCCCCTGTGGTGGTGCCGTGTGCAGATTCTTTTCCAACTTGCAGATGGTGGGAATGCATCTTGGCATTCCAAGTTAACCAATGGCGGTGGCTGATTGAAGTACGCGTTGCTAATTTACCCCCCGCGTCACATAATGGCAGGGAATGGATAAATACATGTACTACTGTGCCAATTGGAACATTGATGTCCAATGCTCGAGTCAACTCTTGATGGGCCAGTTTCTTTGTGTGAATGCCACTAGCTGGACTCAGCAGAATGGATCTGAGTGTCACCAGAAAGAGAAATTTGCCAGTTCTCAGACTTCTAGTGAGCCATGACACCCGTGTATTTATGATTTCTGCAAATGCTAAACATGGCGATTGTTTTTCAACAGAACACAGTGTTTTCCTCGCCTCTGGGGTGTGAAATGTTATTACTCCATTGACGAATATTTATTGTGCTATCAGCCAGGGCCAAGGTTAAGGTTAAATAAAACTACAGTGCATTCTCGAAACAGCATCAAATCATCCGTTTATGTACGAAGTTGGTAAGTGACCTTTGAAAGCTGCGGACAAGAACACAGACCAAAAAATAAGGGAAAAAAAAAATACCCAAAAGATACATGAAGACGATTCTCCCGAATTTTATGCATTTGATATTGCCATTTAATTTGATAGGCTGTAGTTGCTACTCAGGGCAAAGTGTCGCGGAGAGCGCGGAATATCGTGTGACCATCCTCGCACCTGCACATTATTATGATGAGTCAGTCGGCCATTTAGCGCGGGATGTTTTCCCAAGTGTGCCCCTCTCCCTGTTTTTCACCCTGTCCCTCTCACCGTTTATCCCCCCGCCCCCCGTCTCTCTCTCTCTCTGGGATAAAAATTGACGGCAGAGCCAGATTAACTGTGGCGGATTTTTTCCCTCCTCTTTCCCCGGGATTAATTTCGGATGTTTAGTTACTGCAGAAAGCGAGCTGCATATCTGTTCACATAAGCTCGTAATGCATTGCAGTTAAGATTACTATATAAATACTAGCGCACAGTACATCTAAGATCCCATAAATGTGCCCAACAGTAAATTGTCTCAACAAGGACACGGTTGCTGAAATGTGAAAACTGCCCTTCAGACTAACATTGACGGGCACTCTTGTCAGCAAAAATTGGCCATGGTGTTTTTGTTTTGTTTGTGTCCATTTCTTTATTATCAATTTGATGGCAGTCTTGGTTGGTTCAGATGACTGGCTTCCACTTGCAATTCCATAGAAAGAGCTTTTACGCATTAATTAATGGATGTTTTTTTTTTGAGCACAATTTATGCCCTCCAGTACTCTTTCCAAGGCTTTGCTCACAAAGACATACATGTATTTGTACATTTGATATTTAGCAGACATCTGTGGTTCTACATGTAGTACAAAAAAGGTTTTACTTTTTGTTTATGACTCTGACAAAACTGTTTTTCTCTTTCCAGTGGGCAGAACAGGGAGAAAGCTACAGTCGTTATTACAGTGTCTGTCAAGTCCGCAATCCACATGCCAGTGATGGCTCCTGGCTACGGATGCCATACATCCCCCGTCGCCTTGGCAACCGCATCAGTGTGGAGATTGAGTTTACCATGAACTCTTGCACGGGCATCGATGATGCCCACCAGTGCAAGGAGACGTTTGAGCTGTTCTACTACGAGGCGTCCAACAGCGACCCCGAGAACCAGCCGCCCTGGACCACGCCTCCGTACACCCGCATCAAGCGCATTGCGGCCGAGATCCGCTTTTCGGAGACGGACGGGGGTGACGTTGGCGGGCCCCAGACCAACCTGGCCGTGGAGGAGTTTGCCACGACGGCGAATGGCTTCTACCTTGCCTTCCGCGACACAGGCGCCTGTATGGCCATTGTGCGTGTGCGCGTCTACTACGTGGTCTGCGCCGCCAAGACGGAGAATTTCGCCATGTTCCCCGAGACGGTGACCGGTGCCGACCTCGTGTCACTGGTGGAGGTGGACGGGGTCTGCGTGACCCACGCCGAGCAGATCGGCGACCTGCCCATTGTGGCCCGCTGCCAGATATTCGGCATGTGGACAGCCTTCCAGGGAATGTGCGGCTGCTCGCCTGGATTCGAAGCTGACAGCCAGACTTGTCGAGGTAAGCCATAAAGCCAACCTCTCTGATGAATAAACTCTTCACCAGGCTTATCCGATTGGCAAATGGGGCTACTTAGTGATCTAGAAAAATTCAGTTAATGATCCAACAGCAGGTTCCATTGGCACTGCAGTCCAGTTCATTAGAGATCCTCTGACAAGTCCAGTCAATCTTAAACAGGGCGAACACGAAAAGAGAAATGTTTTTGCCACTGCTCGTTTAAAGAGCTGATGACTTGACTTGTAACAAAGCTTCATCAGCACATTGGAAATCGGCTTCTTTGGACATCTTCTTCCAAGAAGCCGATGCTCTCGTAAAAGTTCCTGGTGCATGCGGGAGGGGGGAAAAATGTTTCCAAGTAACGACAGGGTGATTCTGCCGTTCTGGATGAAGGAACAACTCGGCACCGGGTGCTTGTTAGCACTGACCCCTGTACCCCTTGATCACCGGGCCGCGTTGGCACTCTCCCCTGAGCACGGCCCAGGATTTATACCCCCCTGAAAATTCCCAACGCCCCTTGTTTAAACAATTTACACAGTGGACACAAACCCAAAGCCTGTGGGGGGGGGCTTGCGCACTTTGCAATGGGGGAGCCCGCCGACTGCGCACAGGCATAAATACCCTTCCTCACGACTCTGATGAATTGTCTGCAGACCAGAGTGTATTTATTTGTGTCTACTGGGCAAGAGTCGTACTTTTCCTCGACTAACCCTGACCTGAAAAAAACAGGGAGACAAATCAGCATGGCCAATTTTTTTTTGCGCTGATGTTATTATTTTTTGCTGTTGAGGACTCGGTGGTATTTAAAGATGTGTGTCGGGATTCACCGGACCTGGACAGCGTACATGTACGTGTAGATGGAAATCAACGTGTTCTGCTGAGAAAGTGAAAAATCCTATGTTGCCTCTTTATCGGAACGTCCCTCATGAACATGACAGAAAGACTAGGAGATGAACGCAATCAATCAATTAATAATTCCTGTGCCCAACAGCAAGCCCTTTTTCAAGAAAGTATTGCGCTCAATTGTTTTCTGGGAGGGCAGTCTAAAATATTCTTAAATTGGAGGTGAAAATGTTTGGAATGGAGTAATGTAGTGAGTCTCTGAGGTTCCATTCCCACGGGGAAGAAGTCCAAGTTGCTAATGAATTCTCTCGAGCATTTGTGGCGTTTGTATTCAAATTCTGTTATTTAACGATGCGCCTTTGTTGACACTGACTCATTTGGCCACTGTATAGTGGAGCCGACATGTGGATGTACAGTGCGTGTACATGCAGAAATGAGACGTGAATTAGTCATTGTTTGGAATTGTTTCTTATTTTCCTTTTAGATTTTTCTGTGTCGATGACAATTTCTGTCACAGTATCTTCCTTTGTATGGGCGTGCACTTTGGACAGCATTGCTGTGATTACTGTGTCAGAAGGGTCTTGAATCGGATGTGAATATATTTACATCCCTGACAGGAATATGACCGATTAACCAAAAAAATGCAATTGTGCTCTGCCGATAATGACCGCCGATATCAAAAGAGCAAATAATCAGTCGGGCCCGTCAGACACAGACAGGCCGGACAAAGTAGGGCAATGTAGAACGCGCGGCGTGCCCTCCTGGCATCAAAGGGGGTCTGTTATCTTGTCAGTCTGGGGCAAATGGTGTCAAAGCCGTTTGTCGTCTTATCGGACTTTTGGCGAATTAGCTGCGAACGAGGTGGCGAGGTGTTTGCATGGTGACAGCACAAAAGAAAGGAAAAGAAAAAAAATAAGTTTTGCAAATTTAGTGAATCTATGACGTTATCCTTTCACGAGGCCTGTGAGTGTAAAGATAATGCTTTGAAAATGGAATTTTTTTTGTTTGAGAACTTTTTTTGAGTTCCCATCTCAAATTTTATGGAGAAAAATTTGTTTTTCAGAGGTGATGCTTGTTTACCAAATATTCACCCCGGAGTGGTAGTTTTTCCCCTTGGATTTGAAATTTACCGTTATGTCAACATTCTCTGTTAAGATGTCATGCCTCGATCACGAACGTTCCAAGTCGTGCAGTGTTTGTCGGGAGGTGGGACAAACGTGTAAATCAGGCCATAAATTTGCGGACCTCTTCCCGAACCGCTCAACTATTTCTCTGTGTTTTTCTTGTCTGCGGCGAAGAATAATGTTGATTTCTGGATCTGTCGTCGCGGTCGTCCATCACCCCAACAGATGTGGACAGGGGCCACGAGAAAAGACATTGACACATTTGTGCATAGTCGTGCCACATCCATCCATCAAAGCGAAGCCCTCAGAAATCTGCCAATCGGAAGCCAGCACAGCTTGTCTGCACCTATCCATCATATATTTATGCGTATATACATAGACCCGATATGAGTCCTACATCATTAAACTCGGGCAAAGGCAGATCAGTTGGAGGTCGGTGTTTATTGTTGCAACTTCTCCGGTGGCCGATCATGTTGCCTGTGTTTTTCTAGGTGGGCCGGTAAGGTGAAAAAGGTTTATGAGGTGGGTTACCCCCGCTCATTAATCCACTGACTCTTGTGCATGTTGGCCGGTCACAGGCATAAGTGGGGACGGCGTTCCCAGAACCACCAGGGAATCAGCATTCAAACTATTTCCAGAAAATATAAACTTTTTCCGTCTGCCCAAGTCATTGCCCGGGCATGCTCCCCCTCGTGCATTCATGATATTTTTTTTACTTGTCAAATGTGGTAGTCTGACGGCTGATAGGCCTAATCTTGCGCAATTTTTGTGTGTGAAGTTCAACGACCAGGGAAGTGTCTTGATAGAAAACATGCTGGGAGTCTCCTCAAACCAGTGGTATGCATGAACGGGCCAACTAGTGACAGGCAGGAATGTTTGTCTAGTTTACATAATAAGCGGCCACTTCTTAGAACCGGTGAGCATTTTCAAGTTCAATTACAAAGAAATCCTGAGTAGTGTTATTTTTTTCTTTATAAAGTGAAACCTAAGAATCTATCTTATAAAGAAAAATGGAAAAGAAAATCAAAAGATAAAAAAAGGGGAAAAAATTGATCTAGAATTAATGATAAATATTCGCAAATAATAAAGACACTTACCAATCGTTACCAGGTGTGTACGAAGGGTGATGAGGAGCCTTTTTTTTTGGAAAAATACTCTGCTGTGGAAAGATAATTCATTTTTTTCATTTTGACACATGTGAAGCAAAAGGGAGGAAAACAGAGGTGAAAAAATAACAGGGAAATATAGTTTAAACCAAAACAAGTCGCCTGGTGGCCCACCAACTTTTGCTCGTCTCCCGCCACGTTGGAAAGTAGACACCAGACTTGAAACTCTGACCGCCAAATTTAAACTACTGGGTGCTGCATTTATGTACACACTCTGGAGCGTTTTATCTTACACAGCATCATCTCACTGGAAAAAAAGCCATCTATGAATATCTACAATTACTTCCAATTCCAAAGATGCCCAGAACTGAATTTTTGACAGGGTCCTCAAGTGAGCAGCACCCGACAGAGTGCCGAGACCAGACAGTCCAAGTAATAAGCATACTAATTCCATCCTTTCCAATCACTGTCCCACAACATTACACCGACTCCCTGCTGTGGCTGCCAACTTCTGTAACCCGATTTGATTGGCGCGACCAGTCATCCCCCCCCCACAAATATATATTAATGTGGATGTTAAACCTTTGCATTAGTGAAGCTGCAGTGAGTCTGCCTTCGCTCTTTTAAAAGTTCCATCAGCAATTTAATTAACAAAAAACCCAGCCGCCGCACGCCGATTGCATTCATGATTAAATTACACGTATTGAAAAAGGGGAAAAGACCGAAAACAAAATGGCCTGGATGTTTTCATTTTGCGAGCAGAACAGCTGATCAGGAAACGAACTCCCGCTGGTAGATGCAACACCCCACAGATAATACCGTCGCCAATCTGCCAAAGACCAACCAGAACCCATCTTCCTTGAGCCCTGATTAAAACCAGCATCGGGCAATGAAATATAGTTTTGAAAAAAAAAAAAAGGAGGAGAAAACCACTGTCCCCTGATTGTCTGCGGCCAGTGAAGTGAACACACAATGAGGCAAAAGCTTGGAGCGTATATTTGGGCTCCGGGCACAAAAAGAAAAATGAAACAGTGCCGGGTGGACTCGGTCGACTGGTACCCAGCGGTAGGTGTGATCCTCAGCTGGCTGATTGCCGTTCTACCACAAGAACTGGGCAGGGTTTTGAAGGCCATGGCAGGTTGTGATGTGGTGCTACGCCGGCCGGGGCCCAATCAATACCGAATGGGGGACAGCATGGATGGGCTATTGTCAGTTGTCACACATCCCAGTACCCGTGTCGCATCCCCCCCTCTTTATTATTCCCTGCATCGTCCTGCAGAGCGACCGACCGACCAAATCCACCCTGTTGTTATTGATCCGGTTGTCTGTGTTTGATGTGCGCTCCCGCGCCTGCCTGGTAGCCTCTCATTTTCTTGTTGACTTAGTTCTTGTTCCAATTCAGAGGGCCATTGTTGTTGAGGACGGCATGCACCTTTGCCCCCTCCGAGTTAGGAAACAATCTTCCTCATTCATTGCGGCTACAGAATAAACAGCGTGCACACTCTGCATGCCACTTCCCCAGGTTGTTAAGTTAGACACCCCAGTTACAAACCAGAGAGAAACACTTTGAACAAATTGATTTCTGATTTGGGTGCCCTCTGCCAACTGACCTCACCTCGATGCACAAGGATTCACTGGAAAGAAAATGTCAATGTGGGATGTGGCAAAAGGGTCTTGACGGTATCAGCAAATCTATTCTAAAACTGTACAAGCATCGTTGAAAGATGGCCGCTGACTTATCACAACATATGAAACTACTGCTTAAACCATATGCTTTTACACAGTTAACCTCATTCCAATTACAAAACAACAAACAGAGATTAGCACAATCTAATTTGCATTGACAGTTGTCTTTGAAAAAGAAAAATACCGCAGCATGGCTGAGTAAGATGAGTGTTACATAACCTCACAAAGCCCAGAAAGGCCCCGG